TGGTGGTATCTTCAAAGTGGTTTCTCAGGAAGACAGAGATATGGAAGAAGGATCTAATAAGTAGTTACAGCCTAAGGGTTGTCAAAAATAGCATATTACCTCCTCACCAAGTTGGTTTCAATATTAAATAGAGTGGTCAGGGAAAGCCTCACTGAAATTTAAACAGGTTTGAAATCAGTCCTATAGCTGTGGGGAAAGGAGGATTATCCAGAGATGTACAAAGGCCCTGAGGCATCAGAAAGAGTGCTCAGTGTATTCAGGATTAACAAGAAGGCCAGTAAGGCTGGACAGATGGAGAGAAGCAAGCAGGAGGAAAGAGGATGCAAGGTGATTAGTAGATGAGGTTAGAAAGGTAAAAGTGAAGCAGGGATGGGAGATTTCAGAGCTTTGTAGGTCATTGTAAAGACTTGGGCTTTTACTTTGAATGAAACTAGGGAACCATTCTTAGCAGCTTTCTTTTTTTCCTTAGCAGAGAAGTGACTGCATCTAATTAAGCTTTTTAAAATCATCACTGTGACATACACCGCTGTGTTGAGAATAGACGGTAGTGGGAAGGGGTGGAAACAGATCAGATGGGAGACTGTCGGAAATGATGACAGCTCAGATAAAGCTGAAGCAGTACAGGGAGGTAAGTGGTCAAATTCGGAATGTGTTTTGAAAGTAAAATCAGTAAGATTTTTTTGACAGAGACCATTTAGCGATTATAATTATGAAAGAAACCAGAATCGGATACCTGAAACACTTAAATATTAAAAGGTTGGGAGAACAAGAGAAAGCAGCAAATGAGACAGAGAAGGAGGAAAGTAAAGCAGATGTGGCACCCTGGAAACCAAGTGGAGAAAGTAGTCATGAAGGGTGAAGTGAATGGCTGTGACAAGTGATGCTGATAGACCCAGAACAGTGAAAAGTAGTTTACCACTGTGTTTGGCAGCTTCGGTAGAGATAAGGGGTGTTAGAGAAGAAGTGAGAGGAGAAAAATGCAGACAGCAAAGAGACGATCTCCTCCAAGCAGTTCCACACAGAGAGAGAAGAAATGGGGAGATGATCAAGGCAGTGAAGTCAGAAGAATCATTTTTAAGTTGCTTGTTTGCTTTTTGAGACAGAGTTTCACTATTGCAGTTCAGGCTGGCGTTGAACTCACTATGTAGCCGAGGCAATCCTCCTGCCTCAGCCTTGCGAATGTTGGGATTACAGGCATATGGCATCACAGTTGGCTGATTTTTCTCATAAAATTTATTTTTAATGTAAAATATCTAGGGTGAATGTGCCCTTTAAGTTCCAAGAAGAAGAATCTGATATAGATAGAAAAACTGAACAACTGAATGCTAGATGTCTTATTTTCCACTGATACAGTTAATTTCTTGAACACTGAAGATAATGAATAATTTAATTTAATTTAGAAAGAGGATAAAATCTTTGGATAGTATTCATTATTTTAGGATGGAAGACTCTAAAGGGAAGTTGGAGATCACTTAGTTCACTTTATTTTTATTTACTTTGACTGTCTCATACAGTTTATAGCCCAAGAGGACTCGTCCTTTCTCACAAAAACTGTTTCTCCATTTTTCCTGAATTGGCTTGATCATGCACAAAATTGTCTCAGCTGGGAACCTCAGTGTTGGCGGTAGTTTCTTCTCCCCCGCCCCTCTCCAGGGGGCTTCAGTCCCACCCATTTTGCTTCCCGGGCACCGCTTGAAGCCGCACCTCTTTCTCCATGCCCTCTGCTCCTGCATCTGGACAGGGTTCTCAGGCCTCCTGTCTATTATCCAGTCCCCTCCTAACTTACACCTTACACTTTCTCTAGAATTACCCTTCTAAAACACAGTGATGTTCGCTAGTTTTATTTCTGAGTTTTC